CAGCACGCAGGAAGGGGGAGTTGAAGAATACTGAGCATTATGCATGTTTGACAGGGTGAGATGCCAAGTAGCCTTCATGTGGCATGCTTGGCTGAGAAGGGACTCCTTGAAGTGAGGTTTGCTAGGAGGAATCGTCATGTGTAAGGTAGACGTTGTCTGTCCACCATTTCACACATTCAGGAACTCATGGTGAAGCAAAGTTTCCATTCATGAGGTTCATTCCTTTTGCAATCATGACAGTTTGCAGTTGTCATGAGTTTTTTTAAAGGCAGTTGTCATGAGTTTTTTAAAAGGTACCAATCCTCCAAACGCATCCGCGTATGGCTCAAGCTGCCCAAGGGTTAAACGGAGTGCGTCCTCCGCTATTTACTTGACGATGCGCGGTGTTCTTTGTCTTTTGGTTGGTGGAATCAAATGCGGCGAGCTGTTCTTGTCTTGATTCAACTGCTTGTGCAGGTGCTGCTTTAGGGGGTGACGGTGTGCGCGTATTTTTGCACCTTGCCGGTAGGACGCAGGGGGGGAATGCAGTTTGGGGTGCTGGTGCTGATGGTGCTGTGGGACGTAGTTTGTGGGGAGCTGTTTGAGGTGCTGGTGACTGCGGGCGCATTTTTTTGCGACATTGATGCTCGGGTGCTATTGGGCATGCAGGTGACGGTGCAGGCGCATGTTTGCATCTTAAAGGTCGGGTGCAAGCGGGGCATGCAGCTTAGGTGGCGGCTTGGGGTTCTGGAGGTGCTGGTGTGCAAGCACTGCTATCTGTGGTCTATGCTGGCGTAATTTCTTTGGGGGCCAGGGCCACGTTTAAACCGTAGGAATTCCTGAGGGCCCCCCCAGCCCCCAAGATGCAGCTGGGCATGTGTCAAAATAGCGGGGGACCAAACATTTGGGCTCGATGACAATGGCTCGCTGCGCCCGGCAGCTGGCTTAGCACTGCCATTGCCGGGGTGGGGGGTGTGCAATGGAGCCCATGCCAGCGCTGGACGAGGCGCCCAAGGTGCCCGAGGCCAAACCGGAGGCGTCCGAAGCGGGGTCGCCGCCTCCGGAAGCAACCAAAGAGGCCGTAGAGCAGGATCGCCTCACCGGGCTGAGCATCGTGAACAGGACGGGTGGCAGAGGGGCAGACATGGGGATTCTGCGAGCAAAGGCGGTGTTTTTCCTTTGGGCTTTTGTCAGGACGACGCCCAGGGAGGTTTGGGAAGCGGAGGTGGCGAAGCAGACAACGCGGCTGGTGCAAATCCGGCACATCCCTGTGTACTGCAGCGGCAAAAACCGCCAGGCGAAGGACACCGTTTTACCAACGGGCGCCACCTGCCAGGTGTTTCGTCCAAGTGCACAGTGTCCCGCGTTTTTGTGAGTTCACATCGTTTTTTGGAATGCCTTTTGCGCCAGGACAACATCATCGTCGGGGTTCTGTTTGACACGGCGGGGGAAAAGCTGGGCAACGGGGAGGCGTTCCTGAAATGGCGGCTCACCGACATGGCGCAGCCCGAGCCGCGCAACATGGTCCTGCACCTGAGATGGAAGGTGAGGTGCTCTTGGTTTTGTCTTTTTCGTCGGCTGAAAAAGACGCAGGACGCTTGTTTGAATGAGTTTTCCTGGTTGGCAACGGGGTGCCCCCTTCCTGTATAGGCCCATGGGCTTCACGCCAGCTGTATTTATTTGCTTGTGTGGCAGGGCCGGTCGCAAGGGTCACAGCCCCAAAAACAGCTTCGGGCAGCTCCGTCGCCGACTCCCGGCACCTGGCCAGGCTTGCGCGCACTGGCGCAAGGCGGAGAACGCGCAGACTGCGCAGCGGGGAGCGATCATGGCCATCATGAGCCCCCGGCTCCTTGACACGACCTCTGTGTTCGCCAAAGACCAGATCGTTTTCATCGAGAACCCAAATCAAGCGGCCCAGCAAGCACTGGGATGATTGAGCTTGTCACATGAGGCCTTCTGGAGTCGGCCCTGTTTGGGCCACAGGTAGTGCAGGATGGTCGAGGAAAAACCTTGCGCAAGTCTGTGGGTCGTTCGGGTTGAAACACGGGCTTATCAAGAATGGGTTTGTCTACATGCGGGAGCCCTCAACAACCCAAACCGGGTATATACCCCGCCGGCAGATGAACATGGATCCCAGAAGCAAAAAGAAGCTGCTTCTAGGGCCCCATTTTTGGTTTCCATGTCTTGCAAGGGGTAGCTTCAACAAAAGGCCCGTGCGAGGTCCAGAAGCTCGGGGACTGCCCAGACCTCGGCACCTGCAAGAAGAAGGGCTGCAAGCTGCCCTGCAACGTTGTCCAGAAGGAGGCCCGGCCTTTTCCGTCCAAAACGAGGCAGCTGTTGCTTCAGCTCACCATCATGTTGTCACATGCAGGCGAGGGCACCCCCTAACAAAGACAAAAATAGCCCCCATGTTCTCCGACCTACCATGGGGTCTACTAGAGTTGCTTAAACCCGAAGCCCCTTAGGCGTACTGCAAGCTCCACCTGAACGCACTCTACGCCTCGAAGTCGGTACGAATCACTGTGGGCGGCGGCGCTGATGCCAAGGCGCGGTGAGAGACGGGGCGGCCCACTATTAACATTTACTATGCAGCAATCCGTTAGGACGTTGACAAGAGCCTGTGTGACAGACCTGCCCCTCAATCGAATGCGGCTTTCCCCAACGAGTGCGTCCACAGCCGCCTGTCAATTACATGTGGCTTTCCCAAACGAGTGCGTTCTCATTTCCCATTTCAACGCGAAATCCGCGTTGACATGGGGAGGTAAACATCTGTTTGGGCGAGTTGGAGCGACCTCACGAAGGTTGTTTGCAGCGGCCATGAAATAGCTTCCCTTCTGTCTCTGTTTTCAGGTTGACGAATTACTCATGTCATCGCGGGCTCACTGGGCAAAAACAGAGATCGCCATATGGCGATGGGTCAAACGCCCGTACCCCTGAACATTTCAATCCAACCACTAAAAACGGTTCTAAAACGGGTGGTGAGTTCACCTACCAAACTGGGATCCCAAAACGGTTTTGACCGCAGGTGGCCGCTTTCCTGGCGGACACCCGGAAGCGCGCGGGTGCCAAGCTCTTCCGGGCCTCCAAGGCAAGGAAGGAGGCGAAGGGGGCTGCGAGATCTTTTAGCCTGACAACTGCTGATTTCGCATGAAGAAGGGAACCGTTGAATACTTGGTTTGGACATTTCTCATGCTGCAATTCTTCTTTGTTCTTCTCGTTCCAGTTTTCTTATCCCGCGTGAAAGCTCTTTTTCTTGCTTTCTTGCTCATTTGATAGTTTTCTGTCTTCTTACTATTTTCCTTGGATTTCCTTGTTGTTCTCTTTGTTCCCCTGTTGTATTCTTTATTGCTTTGACCTTCGCCTTTTGATTCTCCTGTTTCTCTTCTTCTTCATTTTCCTGCTTTTGTCAATTCTTCTTGCACTTCTTCTTGCTCTTCTAGCTTCTTTTGTTTGTTCTTCTTGTTCCTCTTGTTCTTCTTGCTCTTCATATGCTTTCTGTCTTAATGCTAGTGATTCTCAGCTGGAATGCTTCTTCTTCTTCTTCTTCTTTCTTCTTGCCAGTTTTCCTTGCTAGGTGCCGAGTGGAGCACATTTACGAGTGCCTCCTAAGTCGATCAGCTGCTCTCGAGGTCGCCAGGTTGATTGCACCACCCCGCCAGGAGGCAGAGGAAGCAGGGGACGAGAGAGCCAGGGCCGAGGAGGAACGGAAGAAGAAGTTGGAGCTAGCGCTTCACTTGGACGACCGCCGCTTCAACACCGCGGAGGCGAATGACAGCTACATCAAGTTCGTCCGTCACCTGGCTGACGAAATCGGCTGGTCGAGGTCCAGGAAGGCTGAATGTCTTAGCGTCCATTTCGTCTTTGAAAAGGGCTGGTTTTGACTCGCTGAAGCCAAAAGGGCGGCCCGTTTCTTAGCCTTGTCTTGATTTACCAGGCTGTAATCTTGCGGGTGATGAAGGATTGGGTGATGAAGGACTCCTTTGCTAAGAACTTCAGGGGCCTTTTCGGGTGATGTGGATTTCTTAGCGGGCACTTCCCTGATGGTCAAACATGTTAGCAGCAAATGCAGTTGCAATGACTTGGCAATCTCAGCCCTTCAATATCGTACACAAGGATTTCTTCAACCGTGCTTGCGCTGGTAGTGTTGGCTCAAGGGAAGCCAAAAGAAAACCACAGGTCAAGTGCCCTTCTCAAGATGCCAGCTGCGCGGACGAGAGATTCTGAGGAAGATCCAGGCCTTTAGAACGTTGGTTCCCCAAGTTGCCCAGAACGGTCAGGTGAGGCACTTGGGTGCACTTGCTCTTTCATTGGATTGGTCTTTTGGAAGGTTCCACTCGCCAGGGTCCTCAAGTGTGGCTGTCTGGTCTGGCCTGGGAATCCCCCAGATTCGCAGCCAAGGCAAGGGCCTCAAGGCGGAGGACGGATAGACGGCGGCCGGAAGTCCCATGGGGCCCACGAAGGGCACCGAAGGGTTCCATGCGTGGTTAAGACAATGGACAGTCTCACCAACCTTTTCTGACTCGGGGGTGCAGAGATTCCACGCATTCCCCTGAACATCGACTTGTTTTCTCCTTCTTTTTTATTTATTGTTTTTCTTGTTGGGGTTTTCAAGCCCACGGCATGCCCTTCCTGGAGGAGTCCACCATCTCGCGGGTGCCGCAGCTGGGGAGGGGGCTCGACGAATCCAGCGTCTTCGAGGTCATAGTGCCCAGCTTGGGCAAGGGGCCATAGCCAACAGCCGCCTGAGCCATTGCAAGCCGAGTCAAAAAGGCCATCCTCGCGGACCAGTGTTCCCAAAGCATGCAAACCGTGCACGGGGTGCCATTTTGAGGCCAGTTTTAAAGCAGAGGCTGTGGATTCCCATCTGCGAGCAAACCAGCCATGAATCAAACCCATTGTAACAGGACTTCCCCCCCTCCCCACCCCGCCAACCAACTCAAGACTTGCAAATGCACATGACTGACATTCCGAAACCCATGTTTCCAGATCACCCTTTGTCGCTACTAGACACGGCAACCGAGGACCTGGCGATCAGTCGGAAGAACGACCGCACCTGGGCCGAGACCTTGGACTCCGCCGAGCGCTTCCGCCTGACGCCCATGGACTTCGGCCTGGCGCGCCGGACGAATTAAAACGCCAATATCCGGGTACTCATTTACGCTCAACAGGGTGTGGGTCTGGTGTGAGTGGATGGAGCTTAGAATTTGTTGCCACTTGCTTCTCCAAATGAAGGCCTGGGCTTAGGGGGGTGAGCATAAAGGACGGCGCAAGGGTCTGTTTGTGCCGGTTTATTTTATGGAAGATCGCCAAGCTGCCATCCTAAGAAAACCCGTGTCACGATATTGGAAGGAGGCAGATGGCCAAAAAGATGGAGCCACAGTAACTCAGTAGAAAGGTGAGGCTGGTGGGTTAAGGTGTACTCTTGCAACGGCCAACTTGCTTGCTGACAGACAGATGGCACAGATCCTTGTGCACTGTGGCCGGGTCAAGGCTCGCCCAAGCTGATTTTTGTTTTTCACACGATTTGTGGGTCGCTTGCATTTCAGGAATACGAGTGCAAAGCGGGTTGTGGCAACCAAGGAAGAACGGAGCAAGAAAGCAAACACGACCACAGCGGCCCGCCATGGGCACGGTAAGTGTCAACGGAGAAGTGTTTGGGCGCTGGGAATTCGTAATAACGAAAGGCACGGGGGCGAATATTTCACGGATCTGTGACCTGGGAAGTGGCCGTGGCTGCCAAACCAATGGTACCATTTTGGTTGGTAGGTGAATTCACCACCTACTTTAGTCCATTTTAGTGGGGATTGGGATGTTCGCTGGGGGTACGGGATTTTGACCCATGGCCAAGTGAGAAGCTCAAAGGTGGCAACTGGCTCAATGCATTTTGCCCGAGGGTGCTGCCCCGTGGGCCAGGATGTGCTCACGGCGGAGCAGCGGGAGCGGCGCATGCGGGAGGTGGAGGCTGAGGTGGCCTCGTTGGTGGGTTGGGGCACCGAGGAGGACGGCGGAACGTGGGGCGGGGTGACGGGGTGGAGGCCTGAGTCGGAGGGGGAGCAGAGGTTAACTTGAGGTCTGTTAATACATTTCTTCCCCCTGTTAATAAAGGTCTCCCTCATAATGAAGATTTGCTTCGGAAGTCACGAATCCGGGAATACTACTTGTAGAATAGGCAATGATAAACCGATTCTAAAGTAGGGATTTTCTTGCCCGTACTCGAATCCAGCCCCATTAGCGGGACCCGGAAGTACGGAGCTCCGGGAGTCATACTAAAAAGTTGCGACCGAATCTCCGGGAGCACGTTTCCTTGACTACGGCTGTGCTGCAAGGTTACGACTTTCGAGTCGGAGCTTCTGCTGTTTAGATTCCTCACTCGGAAATGGACGCTGGATACGATTTCACACAGACCGGAAAAGGGAGACCACAGTTGCAGACAAGCTTACAAGGAACCAGAGGTACCTCCAAAACCTGCCCTCCAGAACCAGAGGACCCCTAATAATATGAATTGTTTTGCCGGGAGTTTTTCCCCAACAGCTGAAAGCTTTGGGGTCTCAGCCCAGCTAGGCTCCGGGGTGGTCCGGGGCGAGTCTGAGGAAAGGTTCCACGAGGGTTCCACCAGGGTTCCACCACAGTTCCACCAAGGTTCCACCAATTTCTGCAAGTTCCACCAGGTTCTGTAAGGGGTCCACAAGGGTTCCACCAGAATTCCACCAGGTGAGGTTCCACCAAATTTCCACCAGGGTTGCACCAGGGTCCCACCAGCGTTCCACCGGGTTCTGCGGGGCTGCTGGTTCTGCGAGGTTCCATCAAGGCAAGTTTTGCACAAGGGTTCCGCCAGCTTCCACCAGGGTTCCACCACCAGATTTCCACCAGGGAAGGGTTCCACCACATTCTGCAAGGGCTGCAGTTCTGCAAGGTAAGGTTCCATGAGGGCTGTGCCAGGGTTTCCACCACAAGACTGCGGGGTGGTGTGGGGTGTTTTGAGGTAAGGTTTATGAGGTTCTGCGAGGGCTGCGGGATGGTCCAGGGCAGCCCTGAGGTAAGGTTTTACAGACTTGCACAGAGTTCCACAAGGGCCCCACAGGGTTCCACAAGGCCTACAAGGTTTGACAAGAGTTCCACAAACAATGTGTCGTGCGCCCACCGTCTGAAAGGCCATCGGAGCAGTAAATTGACGGCTTTGCTCATAGGCGGAACAGTAAGCAAAACAACCGAAACCAATGTTTTCAGCACAGTTTCACTGTTTTGACTTGCTCACTTGCTCCGACAACGCGGCCTGAAATGTTGGCTTTGTGGCAACTCAGATCACGACTTTGCAGCAGAGCAAATGCTTGGCGTTGCTGAGTATTAGTTGGGAGGCTTTGGGTTCCAAGGGCTCCACGAGGCTGCGAGGGCTATGGGGTAGGTTCCAAAAGCGATCCACGAGGTTTCCACCAGGTTCTGCAAAAGCTGAAAGGTTCCAGTTTCACGCTGAGTTCCACGAGGGCGGTTTGCAAGGTTCACCGGGCCCAAGTCGGGGGCCCGATTGCGCCATCGGGGCCCGATTGCATTGTTGGGGCCCGATCGGGCCCCGATTGCGCCGGCCCCCACCAAGCTGGCATCGCCTAGCTTTGCTAGATACATCTGTAAGGCCGCATTTGAAGGGAAAGCGGCGTTGGGCAAAAATATGCGTGGTTGGGGTTGGTGGGAGGAGCCTGCAACCATCGGGCCCCGGTCGAGGCCCGATTGCACCGTCGGGCCCCCCTTGGGCCCATTGGGCTTGTCGGCCCCGATTGCCCCGTCGGGCCCAGTCAACTGTACCAAGCTGGCGTCGCCTAGTTTTGCTAGATACAGTTGCAAGGCCGCATCCTAAGGAAAGGCTGGGGTTGGTGGGAGCTCGGGCCCTGGTTGGGGCCCGATTGCGGGCGTCGGGCCGTCGGGCCTCAATCAGGGCGCGATTGCGCTGTCAGTCTTAGCTTCGCCTTATTTAAGGGCTGCCGCCCAGTGCCGCCAACCCCTGGATTTAGTTGTGGTTTTCGAGCAACCAAAAACAGTGCCCTTGGTTTTGGTTTCTTTGGTTTCTTTTTGACCCAAATGGCATCTGAGGCGAGGTGCCGTTTCGACAGTGATGCGTAGATGCTTGTCGTCATCATCATCATCTCTTCCTTCTATTCTTCTATCTTTCTTCTATATACATATCAAATGTGGCGTTAGGCATCCTTGGTAATGCAAAGGATGCTACGATGATAGTTATCATGACAGTCATCCGCAGCTTTGGTAATGCAGAGGATGCTACGATGATAGTTATCATAAGAGTCATCATCCTTATCATCTTCATGATGATTGTCATCATAGTCGTCGCCTGCATCATCGTCATCATGAGTGTCATCATCATCATCATCATCTCTATCTTTCTTCTATATACATTTCAATCGTGGCGTTAGGCACCCTTGGTAATGCAAAGGATGCTACGATGATAGTTATCATGACATCTCTTGGCTCCAGCTTGAGCAAATCCCTTTGAAATCATATGAAACTCTGATGACAAACACACACTTTTAACCAGCCTGAGTAAACAAATAATAATAAAATAATAACTTCATATTTCAAATGTGGCGTTAGGAACCTTTGGTAATGCAGAAGATGCTACGATGATAGTTATCATAAAAGTCATCATCCTTATCCTTATCATCTTCATGATGATTGTCATCATAGTCATCGCCTTCATCATTGGCATCATGATCATCATCATCATCTCTTTCTTCTATCTTTCTTCTATATACATTTCAATTGTGGCGTTAGGCACCCTTGGTAATGCAGAGAATGCTACGATGATAGTTATCATGACAGTCATCCGCAGCTTTGGTACTGCAGAGGATGCTACGATGATAGTTATCATAAGAGTCATCATCCTTATCATCTTCATGATGATTGTCATCATAGTCATCGCCTTCATCATCGTTATCATCATTGTCATCATCAATTGTCACATCATCTCTTCTTCTATCTTTCTTCTATACTTCTGTATACATTTCAATTGTGGCGTTAGGCATCCTTGGTAATGCAGAGGATGCTACGATGATAGTTATCATGAGAGTCATCCACAGCTTTGGTAATGCAGAGGATGTTACGATGATAGTTATCATAAGAGTCATCATCCTTATCATCTTCATGATGATTGTCATCATAGTCATCGCCTTCATCATTGTCATCATTATTATCATCATCTCTTTCTTCTATCTTTCTTCTATAGACAAAGATGAGGGCTGACAAGAGATGATGATGACCATGATGATCGTGATGATAAGGATGAGGACTGTGATGATAACTATCATCGTAGCATCCTCTGCATTGCCAATGGGGTCTAACGTTACTTTTGAAATGCATATAAGAATAAGAATAAGAATGAGATGATGATATCATCATGATGATGATGAGAAGAGCGATGACATCATAATAAGGATGATCATGATGATGATTATGATGATCACTATCATCGTAACACCCTTTGCATCACCAGTGCTGCCTAATAAGAGATGGTGATGACCGTGATGATACTGATGACAAGGATGAGGACTGTGATGATAACTATCATCGTGGCATCCTCAGCATCATCAGTGCCGGCTAACAAGAGATGATGATGACCATGATGACAGTGATGATAAGGATGAGGACTGTGATGATAACTATCATCGTAGCATAAGAATAAGAATGAGATGATGATGATCATCATGATGATGATGAGAAGAGCGATGACATCATAATAAGGATGATCCTGATGATGATTATGATGACAACTATCATCATAACACCCTTTGCATCACCAGTGCTGCCTAATAAGAGATGATGATGACATCCTCGGCATCACCAGTGCCGGCTAATAGGAGATGATGATGTTGAAGGATATAGAAATGATGATGATGATGATGTTGACGATAAGAATGATGAAGGATCATATCGATGATGATGATGATGGGCATCCGTATGATGCCAGTAGTCATATGCTTGCCTCAAAGATTAATCCATGCGCTTGTACTGCAACCACCCTTCCCGTGCGCCTCCCCTTTGAGGAGAAGGGGTCGGCGGATTTTTTCCACAACAGCTGAAAGCTTTGGGGTCACAGCCCAGATAGGCTCTGGGGTGGTCCGGGGCGGCCTGAGGTAAGGTTCCACAAGCGTTCCACCAAGGTTCCACCAAGGTTCCACCAGGGTTCCACGAAGGTTCCACGAGGTTCTGCACTTAAAACAAGACCCGCGTGCTGTTGAGGATATGACCTTTGGGGGAAGGGATTACTGGTACCCCAACTGTAGAGCTTTTTTTTTGGGAGGCCTGCCCTCTTCGTCTTGGTCATGGAACGATGGAACGATGGGCTTTGATTCGCCTGGGGTGGATGTACAAAAAACCGCATCCAAAGCTGTTTCCTAGATCCAGCGCATAGGATGCGGGCAGCGCCCGGCACTTCTTCTACCAGCTCCGGCGCCAGCTGGGCAGCGCCCGGGGCAGCGGCCACAGCGCCGCCGCCGCCGGGGGCGCCGCGGCGCTGCATATGCCCAGGGCCCTGCGGGTGGCGGCCAACGCGGGTGTGGGGCCTCAGCCCAGTGGGGAGTGGGGAGTGGGGGGGGGGGGGTCTCATGGGATTCGATGGGATTCGGACCCCTCGTTTAACTCTTTGGTGCATTTTGTTAGGACTTTAACTTTTTGCCAACTAAGGAGCAATGAGCTTTCCATTGAACCACTAAAAGTGAAATTTTGGGTAGTTTGACAAACCTGAAAAATGTAAGGGCAGAGGACTTCGGGTTTGGGGGGTTGGATGCCTGCCAGAAGCGGATTGGAAAGGGTTTGGGGGCTTTAAGCTGAAAGGGCGGGAAGAGGTGGGGGAGGTAGGCATGCTGTGAGCTCAATTTTGAGCAGTTTCAGGAGGGATGATAGCCAGGCGCACAATTCATTCTGGTTCTGATTAGGACAGATGGCTGGGATGGCGGAGATGAACTGGCTTGAACCTTCCAAGACAACGTTGCAACTCATGCAGAGAGCTTTGCAAATTCAATATTGCGACATGGCAATAAATATGTGTGAGGGCATCTTAGCTGTTGCCACAGGAACAGGCGGCTCATGCGCATAGACCGTCCCCATGCAAAAATGATCACGGGCTCACTTGGAGCAAGCTCATCCATGATGAAGGTCCCTTACTTGCAGATGCCTTATACCAGCTTTGGTCCACCGCTACCCCGTAACTTGAGCCACTCATATGGCCATGAGTCAAAATGCCGTACCCCTAGTGAACATCCCACTGCCCACTAAAATGGACTAAAATGGGTGGTGAATTCACCTACCAACCAAAATGGGATCCCAAAACGGTTTTGACAACAGCCATACTGTGGATGGATGGACGCAAAATCCCGCACCAGCTCGGGAATTCTCAGCCGACAACGGTTCCCCGTTGTGTCTTGGGTGGTGCAGGACTTTGTCCCTCCATGGCTCTCGGTTTCTTCGGGCGCGAGGCTCCGGCCGGGAGACCTTCGTGCGCCTGGCCACCTGCTTCCTGCGGGCGGCCGGGGCCATCAGCCGGGAGGAGGTGGTGTGGGCCCCTCGGCAGTCGGTTGATCGATTTTTTCGTGGGGAGGGCAGGTTACCTGGGCCTCCGTTTGCTGCTTGCGCCCCGCCTTTTTGTTGCTTTCTCTTGTGCCCCCCTATCGGTTTAGAATGGCGTGTTGAGGCTCTACAGCATTGAAGGCAACCACGTTAGGAGTGAAAACCAGGGCTTCTAGCCTTTTGGTCGATGCATTTTTCGCGGGGACCGGGAGGTTGGTCCCGTATTCCCTCCGAGTCAGCTTGTCCCTCATGTCCTGATGACCAAAAGGGAATGTTAGACAGGACATGGCACGCCAGGCTTGACAAGGAATTAATTGCCTGGCGGTTCCCGTCCCTAAGTGAGAGAATAGAGCCATTTTTTCACCTAACCCCAACTCCAGAAATAGATACTAGAGATGAAAGGAAGCCGGTGGCAGGATTTCAATTACCGCTGGACAGACTTCCTTTGTCTAAGCGCCACGGGCCGGTGTCAGAGCCATTTGGAACTGGTTTCATGTTGGTTTCCTTTCAGCCACCAGCCAAAGAGATGGTTTATCGAGCGTCTCCAGCTCAATCAAATCGCCCGACAGAGGTGGATGCTCAAGAGCTTTGCGAGAAAGGCGACCCAGCGGAGATCCTGCAGACGCGGCTGTTGGCCGCGGAGCACGGCTGCCTGGCGCCCTCGCCTGCAAAGCTCATCCTTTGCTGGCGGTTGGTTTGCGCAGTGAAGCTGGGTTGGCCATGTGCAAGGGTCATAGTCATAGATTTGTCAGATCGGTTTGGGGGGTTCGTCGGCTTTGGCCGGGGGTTTCGGACTTGTTTGGGTCCGTTAGCTTTGGGATTTGTGTGAGAAAGAGGGAAGCAGAAGCCAGCTTTTTGATCAAACACGACTTATCCCATAGTCGATCAAGATACGTAAATCTAGAAGCATGCAGGCGCTGGATCTCATCAAGCTTCGCTGCCCCCGTGCTCGCCGCCCGTCGCCCAAACGATAGCCCCAACCTTCCCATTCCCATGCACCGCGGCAACATGGCCAGCTAAATTGCTCTTTCTTGTGTTTTTTCCTTTTTAGGTACAGTCTGGTGTGCATTTTGCAGCTTGTGCTTTGCTCCTTCCCCCCTCCCGCTGTTGCTTTGGCCGTCTTTTGGCGCTTCAAAAACAGTTTCGCCCAACCCGAAACGGTGTTGGCTTCCTGTTAATTTTGGTTTCCCTTTGAAACCAAGGGAAACCAAGAAAAGCATCTGGGGAAGCCCCTGTCTGGGACCCTCCTTCCTGAAAGCTGCCCCAAACCATTTCCAGAAAGGCTCTCCCAAGTTTTGTGAGCTGTTGGGGGGGTACCACAGCAAGCAGTAGCTTACCAACAAGCAAAATTGTCCATACTCCACCCTATGGTTTTCACGCCATTTAAAAAGCACCGCCCAAAACCAACCAAATATGTTTGGCATAAATCCTGTAAAAAACAATCCACTCACCAAATGTTTCAAGTTATTCATTTTTCAAGAATAACTTAAACCATTTCAATTATCCTCAACCTCATTCTTTTTAAATTTTCCTCGTGCCTGTAAGTTAATTCGTGTCTCGCTTTATTCATTTTCCTAATATCACAATTACACACATCACAATGATAATTAACCTTGCTCTTCCTTTTTCCTTTCTCACGGCATCTTTCACAATTATTATAATTATCAATGAAACAATCCACATTCCTATCTCTCCGACATCCCGAGCAATATTTCCTTTCCATAACCTCTAATATAGAATACCCACATCCCTTTAAATAGTTTTAGACACAAATAATATTTTTGCTCTGGGGTAAGACCCTCATAGAAAAAAACACCAAACAACAAACCACACAAAAAACCAAACAACAAACAACACAATAGACAATTATACATATATTGAATAAATCTAATATTTTATCTTATTAGTATTATTCATGATGAAGTGTAGTTGATAGAATAAGCGAAGTATTCATCATCGTCTGACCCCTGAACTTCAATGGTTCCAGCAAAGGGGGAAAGAGGTTCCACCAAAGGGGGAAAGAGCTTCCACCAAAGGGGGAAGCCCTATTAAAAAAGTGATAAAATTGTTTCCACCAAAGGGGGAAAGAGGTTCCACCAAAGGGGGGGAGAGGTTCCACCAAAGGTGGAAGCCCTATTAAAAAAGTGATAAAATTGTTTCCACCAAAGGGGGAAAGAGGTTCCACCAAAAGGGTTGAAACTTGATTTCAACCCCAACCACAACCTCGTTTTCCTTAATTCACCAAACTCACCAAATTTCACAAATCAAATCAGCAGGTATTTTGTATAAATCTTCCTGCTTATGCTTTACATAATTTTCACCCCAACTTTCCCGCTTTCCACTTGGTGCCCGTTGTGCAGTTTCAATATGTTTTTTATTAACAACTTTACCACAGTCTTTTTTACATAAACTTCGGGGTTTCCATCTATCAAGGTTGTTCCATAACCTGGTTCGCTTCCTGTAATTAAATCCATATTTGCAATAGTCAATGTCATTAAACCTTAACCCATTCATAAAAGATTGACTTTTCAATAATCCAGTCTGTGGATTTTCAATAACAAAATATGGCCATCTGAAATATTCAATAATCTCGATTGTTTTTAATACAATACTATTAGCATTTTCAATGTTTCTTATTCCTTTTCTTTTTGCAATGCTGTATTCTGTGCAAGGTGGTGATGCCCAAATGAATGAGAAGTGGTTTCTGTCAAACTGCTTATAATCCCATTCAAGTATATCACAATTAATATCAGCATTTTTCAAATCCAACGATATTACATTAAAACCGAGCGACTTTGCAATAAGTCCAACACTGCCTGTTCCGCTAAATAATTCTAATAAATTCATATTATTAGAATGATTTAGATATTTATTATATTGTTTCATATTTTCCTTCTTCGTTCTTAAACAGTTTATAAAATTCAATAGTTTCTTGCTTCGGACTTTTAATTTTGTTCTTATTTAACATATCCATATATTGCTTTTGTTTATCTTGAAAACTACCAGACGGACGTCCTATTTGTTTTTTTTTTTCAAAGATTTTATCCATCTTATCCTTATCGTCTTCGTTATTGCTTTTAGGTTGGTTTATTTTTTCATCGATAGTCTTAATAAGTTCAGTTAATGTTTTAATATTCTTACTAATAATTATAATATGTTTCATTAAATCGTTAATTGTAGAATCACCATTTTCTGACATTTATATATATATATATAAATATTTATATATTTATTTATTTATTTATTTATTTATTTATGCGTTTTATTATACAATTTACCAGAATAATTTAATGTTATGTATGTAAATAAATTATATTCTATCAGTCTTTCATCAATTTTATTTTTCAATTTTATTAAACCTTCATCTCTACCTGTAATTTTAAAAAACTTCAACATTTTATCAAATTTATCCGGTTTAGTTATACCTTTCATAAAATATTCATCATTGAATTTAGCATCTAACCAATAAAAGTATTCTTCGCTCAATTGTTTAGCAAAGTTTACATCACCATTGAATATGTCTTTAATTTCTTCATCGTCGAAAGTTATAATTCTATGGTCTTCTCCATTCATAGTTGGCATTATGATTATATAAATATTTATATATTTATTTATTTGTTTATTTATGCTTTTGAAGTGGTGTTAAATCTACTCCTTAAATGCTAACTTATGTCCCTGTTAAAACTAACATTAATCAAATGTTCATAAGTTTCAATAATCATATCACCATCTGTTCTTTTCTTAATATTTAAATCTTTATCTGAGCTTTTATAAGAAAACATACAGGGAATACAACTAACTTTAACTCCACCTTTTTTATCTAGTATCAATTCATTTTTAAAATTCATAACATGATTACATTTATCACATTTTATAGCCTTACTTTCACCCAGTGATTTAACACTTTCTGCTGTGTCTTTCCGTGCTTCAATATCTGGCATTGGTCTTTCTTTGTCCTTACTCTTTTTCTTTCTTCCCATTTATATTAATATTTACATTTTTATTTTTGATATATTGTATCACAAACTTAATTATTTCTAGTGAATAATAACAACATTTTTTAATTTTATTATCGGTTATTATTACTTGTTCTATATTTTCTACTTCATCTATTATATTAATATAATCTGAATAACTTCTATTCATATTAAATAATAAGATAAATTATTTTTCATTTCTGTCTTTCTTTTCTTATAAAGTTTTTTAATAGTATCGTCTTTATTCCATCTCTGTTCTACAAACTTTTGATGATGTTTAGAATTTAGATGTTTAAATAAGTACTTATCGTCATAAGTTTTACCACAACTGCAATGGACAATAGTCATATTAAATAATAAGATAAATTATTTACAATTAATCTTATTATTTCATGCATAATAGAATATTGATGGGGGCACAGCACTTGGAGTTTTCATTGCAATTAGCTTCAATGCTTACTGATTGAAGAAATGGAAACCTGTTCCGTTTTTATGATATTCACTACCAGCATATCATAAAAAAGATGTTCCATTTAATATTAATTATTTTCTAAATATCTTTAATATTTTTTTTTATTATGCCTGATGTAAAACCAATTGATGAAATCAAATATGACTTTAAGCAAAGCAAGCACGAGGTCGTCCCTAAATTGCCGATGAGAGCGATGATTGTAGGGCCGTCAGGCTCTGGAAAGAGCACCCTACTTGTATCAATGATACTTGATATTTATAGAGGTGCATATGAAAGAATTTTTTATCTGGTCCCCATCTGTAAATTTGGATAGCATTTGGTTGCCTGTTAAAAAATACATTAAAGAAGGTTTAAAAGTTGATACTGATAAAGAATCGTGTTGGTGGGATGAGTTCAATGTTGAAGATTTAGAAAGAGTTATAGAAACTCAAAATAAAATAATTGAATACCAGAAAAAACAAGGAATGAAGAAGTTATTTAATATTTTAATAATTTTGGATGATGTATCTGATAATCCAGCAATAACACGAAATAACAAATTGTTAAATTCTTTATTCTGTAGGGGACGTCATAGTGGAATATCAACGCTTGTCAGTCTTCAGAAATCATCAAGTGTCCCACCAATTATTAGAGTAAATATAAGTCATTTGTTTTATTATAAAGTTAGAAACTTTAAAGAGATAGAAATATTACAAGATGAATTATCAGCAATTGTTAGAAGCGATAATTTACACGAAAGCAAGAAATTAATTTATAAAATATATGAGACTGCAACTGATGAACCTCATAGCTTTTTGTATATTAACCTTTTCGAAAAGAACCCTGATAAAATGTTTATGAAAAAGTTTTCACAATATTTGAAAATAACTAATCAATAACATTAAATTTTTTGTTTAATGTTATTAATTTAAATTAGTGAAGCGTGGCAAAACTGTAAATTTGGTAATTTATATATTAGTTTGTCTGATTTTTCTTTTTCTAATTTTTCTATTCTTGATACACATTCTTGAATAGATTTAATGATTAAAGTATCTGCTCTTGTTTTTTCATCTACTCTTAAATTCTTAATGTCTTCCATACTGTTATTTTCATCGCTTTTACTTTGTCCAATACCCATTATATATTTATTATTTAGATTTTTCTTTTTTCAATTCCTTAATTTCTTTTTCAAGTTTATCCATTTTATCATTTAATTCTAATACTGCT